CCTTGAAGATCGATCTTAATCGAAAGTCGAGCGTCGTCGAAAATTAAGCGACCGATGAAAATCGATCGGGATAAAAAATCGGGCCTCGTCGAAAATCAATCCTGTCTCCTTATCACGCGGAGAAAATCGCTCCGTTCGATTCGATAGCTCGCAATTACGTAAACTGTTACTTTGGATAGCTCACTGGGCGTAATTGCCCGTGAACTTCTCGTTTAACCCTCTTCGCCGTCACAAAAGTGGGGTTTTTATTTTTTTTTTTATCTACAATGAGGTAAAGATATCATTCCATAACGTTTCTCTTCCCTCCCATACAAGTAACCCATTTTCTTATCGAAGAGCCAAGCCTCTCGCTTTGTAACAATCGCGGTTCATTAAGTGTACGGAAGATATTCTTTCCTCCGCAGCGGATTTTCTTCGGAGATAATTGCATGAATAAATAAGACCGGGAAGGTGGCAAGAAGTAACCTCAACCGTGCCGAAGGATACATTATTCATTGACACGTGGTTCGTTTCGTTGGAAAAAAGGAAAGAAAAAAAAAAAAAGGGTAAACTTTTGAACCCTTTGCGAATATGTATGGGAATTATTTTGGTCTCGTCATTTTTTTCTCGGTCGTGAAGCTCGTTTAATCGGCGTTAAGCGCTCGGACGTTAACGAATTAATTGATAGCGGGGTGGCGAAACTTTTCTCGGCTACAGCTGATAAGGTTTCGTCTGGAGCCAGTCTCTCGTAGGAACGACACCGGAGTCGATTGCCGACTTCGATTCGTCCGGTCAAGGTGACTCGAATCGGCTGCTCTTTTTATTTTATTTTTGTTTGTTCATTTCCTTCCTCTTTTATTTTTCCCCACCTTCTTTTATTCTACCCGCAATAAATAAGAGCACGATGATTCGCCCGACCCCGCGAAATGAAATCCTACTCCGACGCCGAAGGGGAAAAGTCATCCCGGGGGTGGCGGGACGCCTTCGGTACATTGATTAAATTCTTTATGCCTACCTGTAATTGGATCGCCATGGAAACACGGGCTAACGAAAGTTTCCCGATCGCCGGTTATCCACTCGGCAGGTCTTCCACTCCGTTCGCCAAGATGGCGGACGGACCTGGTATTATTTTCGGCGCGTCCACTCGAGTCGCATTTCGATTTATAGAATGTGTTATGAATTCATTAAAAGTGGGTAGTCATTTTCCCACGCAGGGTCGCGAAACTTCAACTTGGGTGTCCTCTTATCGTTGTATTCTTTATTTCCGCCCTGCGCCGAGGAAATCGAGGAAAAACATTTCCCTCCTTCGGGTGGACGTCCCGAATTCCCTCCCCCTTTTTCCCCTCCCTCGGCGGTGTACGTTCGGCTGATCGCCTCGGAAAATATTTGCCTCCTCCCGGCGCGCGAATAGCAAATATTTTCAGACGCGACCAATCGAGCTCGTCTCGATTCCGGATTGAAGAAAAATAACGTCCACGTTCGGTCGCACACGCGATTTCCGCAGGGATCTCCGGCGGACCTGCGCCGGCTCGCGGCCAGTTTTCCCGCCGCGCTCCGTTTTTCTAGCGCGATCTCTTTTTATCCCCCACCCTCTCCCTCTCTCGGGGAGGTACACTGTTAAAACAATTCCGTGAATTCTATAACATACTATCGAGTAAAATAATGCGTTATAAATTTATTACACACATACATAGCGAAATCATAAAAAAAAAAAAATATTAATTTCATAATCACTTTAGAAGATACATTTACAGAGTTATAAAATACCATCGTAAAATTAAAAGCCCACCTCAGAGAATTAAAAATAATGTGTGATATGAAATTGTGAATTCATTTAGAAGCTTGCAAGTACTGTATACCAATTCACTATTAATACGTCATATTTATAATTGCATTACAACCGTGTGTACTAAGTGTAGGGATTTTTTTTAACAGTCTTTCCTATTTTCTTTTTTTTTCGTAATCGTCTTTAAAAACGTCTCCGCCCAGGTTGGCCAATTTCTTGGAGGAATCGTCAAGCGGGGAGGCTTTTTTCCTCGCGTGCACCGTGCATCGGGCTTAAGTGCGAGCAAGCCGAGCGCATGTAAGAGTCGGTTGCAGAAGGGGGGCCTGGGGTTTGGGGCCCGTCGCGTGTTTTTGCCCCCCGTCTGGCTCCCACCGTGGCTCATCGTTTTTTGTCTGGTGCACTGCATGCGCTGCGCCGCCGCCGCCGCCGCCGCCGCGGCGGTACGTACGTGATGCGTCCGCGCGTGTGGGCGCGGGCAGATATGCGCGCGCACGCGTGTGCAGATATGCGCGGGCACGCGTGTGCGCTTGCACGTGCAGGCCCCCCGGTGCATCCACTCGGGGACGTCCGACGGGCCGGCCGGCCGGTTCCCGGTTGCCGCCGTGACCCGAGCGCGTCCACCGGCCCCGGGAAGGCAGCCAAGGGTACCGAGTGGACGGTACCAAAGGGGTAATGCAGGGCAACGGAGGGTACCGAGAGGTGCTAACGCCCTTGCGCGGATATATCGAAACGCAATCGATGTGGCCGATATGCTCTCGTCAGGGTGGGCTCCATTTAATTGTAAATTGTAAAAAGATTGTTTAAATAATGAATCGCAATTTTGGCAGGTGAATTAATAATTTCGTTAAGAGCGCCGACTATAGTCGAAAGAAATTCTGCCATATCTGCGGAGTAGCTTTTGGATCGGATTGACTCTTATTTGATTAATCGTCCTGAAAGTACATTTTGAACGTACGTAACACAATGTCCACTTCCGCATAAAATTGTGAAAAGCTTGATCAAATCGTGAATCGCAATTCTGACAGGTGAATTAACAATTTCAATTTGAAAGTACATTTTGTACGTAACACGGTTTAGCCCTCGAGACGAGATTTATTATTATTGGCGCACTTTTTTTGTGAATCGAGTCGAGAGGTTATGTCGGTGGTTTAACTCCTGGATGGTGTTCTCCGGGAGCTCGCGCTGCGCTCGGAGCCTTCCCTAGGCCGCCTCGGGATAAACGCGCCGCGACGCTCCTATATACCTAGGGAGGAAGAGAGAGAGGGAGTCGGCCATCCCTTCGACTCGGGATCGTGCCCGGCATATGCGATCGCGCTCCCGAGGAAGACCGCCTTCGGGGTCTCCCTCGTCTCCCCCCCGGCGTCGCGACGCCGGTACTCCGGGTTCCGAGGGTCTCTTTGAAGTCCTGTCGGCCGAGGAACGCCGAGGAGCCGGACGGAACCGGGTGGAACTCGGAATCGTGGACGCCGGCGCGTCCACCCACCCGCCCCGCCGGCGTCCCGACGCCGGGCGACGGACATCCTAAATACCCCTCAAATATTGGCGCTCTAAACATTTGCCGGCCTGCACTTTGGTCTCTTTGTCCGCGGCTGACCGCGACCCAAGGTCCTCGCCTTGCCAGACGGGACGGGACGACCCCGACGGAGACGTCGCGCGGAACGACGTCGGGATATCGGGGCGTGCCTCGTCTATTAACTCGTGTCGGCCGACACGGGATTGCTTTCCACCCGGCGTCTCGACGTCGTCGTGGCGCGACCAAGTGGGCGTTTCGACGGAATTCCTTTTATCCCGGAATCGACGCTTCCTCTCTCCTCGCGCTCGAGGGGTCCGCTAAAATGGCGATTCCGGGAGAACTCGCGGTTTCCCTTCCTCTTTTCTCGCACCCCATCACCGAACCCGACTCCTCTACTCTCCCGTTTTTTTCCCCAAACGACGCCGGGAAAGACAGCGAGAAGTAATCCCGACTTTCCAAGAGGCGATCCTATAAATTCCCGTAAAACTTGAAATCCCGCGTAGAGACCCTATGCACGGCTCCTACACCGAGAGAACCTTGCCCGCTCTTGCTCCGTCCGCCATCTTGAATTTTCTGTACCGAAGACGGAGTCCCAGAAACCGCAATGTCGCAGCTCCACGGAGCGTTTTCACGGGTCTAGTTCGGTATCGACATTTCCTCCCTTATCCCTTTCCTCGTTTTTCCTGACAAGGACTCCTGCAGTCCTCTCCGTTCACCCGGGATTCCTGGGAAATCGGTCCGGTCGGCCTTTTTCGTTCGCCGCTATCTCGGCGTCGTTGTCGCGGCTTTCGTCGTTTCGTGCTCACGGAGCGTTTAACGAGCGTCGGGTGACGAGCTGCTCGAACCGTTGAAGCGGCGATGATGAACGTTGATAAGGTTTTATGGCCGTGTCTCATCCTGTCTCATCGTCCGCGTGCGTACACGGGGACGCGCGTTTGCGTGCACGTTAACGCGTACTCGCGCGTGCCGGTGCGAGAGGTACGCGATCGCCTGTATATAGGTGATCGCGCGTGTGCATGCGTGTATGATGTGTGTATGTATGTATATATTCATACGCGCAGGCACGCACGTACGCACATACGCGCCCCGGCATTACCTCCTCTCCGTGGACGGGAACTGCTCCCGGGTTCTCCTCGATGGGCCTTCCTTTTTTCCCGCCGATTTTATGTCTCTTTCTCTGGCGAAGTACGAGCTGGTACTTCGGCCCGGAAAAAGGACCGAGGAAAGGGTTGCGAGAGCAGAACCCTTCCCGTAGAAAGTGCACGCATGGTCACTTCGGAGCCGCCGAGAAAAACTCATCTTCCTACATATTTCTCCCTTGCACCGTTAAAAAGAAAATTCTCCAAATTTAATAACATTCTTCATAGAAGTTTCATTATGGTATACGAATTTTCTAACATAATTTCAGATAACACGTGTCATAAATTTACCACACACGTGTGTAATAAGATTATGAAAGATATTAATAATTTTGTGATATATGTATCAGGATTTCAAGACTTTCGTATGTGGTGAAATTATGTATATAAAAAATGGAAAAGTAATAATTTTATAATTTTAGAAGATACATTTATGAAGTTATTGAATGGTGTTGGATATTTTTTCGCCTTCCGGTTTGAAACGTACTACCTGATTATGGTCTTAGCTTTTAGCATTGACCCAAAATTGGAAAAAGAGGAGCGCTATCGATAACGGAATTGGGATTGCGTTGTTTGGTTACAGTGAGCGTGAGCGGGTATATAGTGTCAGTGGTGCTCGTGCTCGTAGTCGGGGCGCTGCTGGGTGTGCTGGCCACGGTATCGCATCACCTGCACCATCGTCGGCTGCCCCACAGCCCAGCTTCCTCCATCCTGCATCACCACCGTCATCACCATCACCATCACCATCACCACCGACATCATCTCCGGGAGGAGCTGCCGCCGTCGCAGCAACGACGACTCCTGCTGCAAGACCACCAGCTCCGGCCTGCCGCCCCGTCGGTAAGTCGATTTAAAGTCGATTTAAAGTCGATTTAAGGGGATGGGAAAAAGTTACTAGTTTTGGGGGGAGAATCGTTCGTGTCAATTTTCTCCGAAATGGGTGTACCGATTTCTTTCAAATTTCACCACGTGAATAAGGGGACCCTAAGGTAGGTCCTGAAACTCGGGAAATTTTATTTGTTATTAAAATAGCTATGACAAATAAAATTTCCCTGTCGTGGATTTCATATAGATAATTTTTCCGCGTGAATTTATGCCGCGCCTTTGAGAAGTCGGGGGTTGCGGTTTCCGGAAGCGGTGCGACTTCCGCGTCGACCTTGCGGAGCCTCCGTCGCGACTCCGCCTCTTGGATTCCTAGAGACGCGGACGAGGTCGCCGCGGTGCGGCTTCCAAGATGGCGGCGCGATGCACTAGGGCGACCTTCGGCGAGATTACGCGACTCCGGGAACTCCCGGTGGGAAAAAAGAAGGTCGATATCTAATCGGCGTTCGGCTGCACAGCTGTGTCTATCTAACCTACATCCCGCCAGGCGGAAACCGCGCCTCCGCTCGGCTCTCGTCCTCGCCGACGTCTACGCGAATCTCTTCCCCGACGCCGCCCGGAACCCTTAACTTCGTATAATTCTAAACGCAGACTGTAAAAGACTTCGACATAAATATAAATGTCGGTAATGGGATGTTATTAAATGAATTTCATTTCATCGACGTCGATTAAATTTCTTAGCGTCTTTCGTATCTTAAATTAAAACGCATTTTAGAGACTCGGGCAGGTACTTCCTCTCGAAAGGTTGAAAACTCAAGGGACTTGCTCGATCCCGAGAGCGTCTTAAAGCCCTCGCTAGCGAAACCAGTCCTGCGAGTTCACTAAGGGCGTGCATGGATTACGCGAAATGCGCACGAGCAAGAGCGGGCCGAGTCTCGGGATCGGGGGGGAAAGGGAGAAAAAGGAGGAACGGAGGGCCCAGACTCCGAGACCGGGCCACAGGTCGTAATAATAACTCTCAATAATCATCGGAAACCCGGGCGCGTACTTGCGCGGTTCGGACCTTCGGGTCGACCTTCCCGGAGCCAAGATGGCGGCCGGTCGAAGGGGTGACCGACTCCGACGTGCGCCCGCCGCAAATATTATGTCTACCGGCGACGCCCGGCGTCTCGGGTTACGAGATCGTTCCTTCCGGCCGACGCGTCCCTTTCTCGGTCGGGTCGCCATTTTGGTCCCGAGGGAAACGAGCGAAAGTCAAAAGTACACCCTCGCTTCCCTCCTTTCAAAGGTCTCCATCGTAATGGACGCATTTGAAATGACTAAAAAAAAGATTAAAAACAAAGGAAAACACCCCTAGAAAAAAATTAATTGAACCGAGGAAATATCTTCTTACTTTTAAGGGTAATTAGTTGACTCAAATGAATCATAATTACGTCGAAGAAACGCGATATAAAAATTTGGACGACTCCTAGGGTCCGCGGCACGTGGGAGGATCCCTCGGGTGGGGGTTTTTATTTTCCTCGCGCGCGAGTTCGGGAAACCTCCCGACTAGCGTATCCCCCTCTCTCTCCCGCCCGCTGAGTCATCGCTCGTTCCCTCTCTGTCCCGCCTCCCGAGTCTTAACCACGTTTACAGTGAGTTAGGTATGCTCTTGGCGCGTGACGTCACCGCGTGCCCGGCATGGACCACGTGCGCGGCGCAGTGGCGTAGGTCGGAGACGTCGGCCTCCCCCTTGCCCCCAGAGGCGTCGCGACGCCGCCGCCGACCGCGAGGGTAGTCATCCCAAGCTAGAGTTCGCGAAAAGAGATTCCCCCCGTCACGGGGGGGGGGGGAGCGATTCCCCCGGAGACGCCGCTGGACTTGGCAGACGCGCCAATGCACCGCACTTGGACGACGCCCAAGCGTAATAAATTTCAAATCAGGTCATTGCTTCTCTTTGCACTTAGCGTGATACACCGTCGGTCAACATTCGAGATCGAGGGGTGGGCCAGGTTTTTACGAGGGAGCGAGAAAGGCTCTTTGCGCCCTCGTGGAGGGCGTCGTTTTATCCCGAGGCGTGGTCCCTCCCTTTTCCCGCCATTTTATTTTTCATCTCTCGTTTTAATTGATTTTCCCGGTTTCCCGGCAGGGTGGCCGTCGAGGGGGGCTCTCGAAATCCTAGGACGGCTTTTATTTCCGGACGTTAAACGGCCATCCGTAGACAAGATCCGTTTGCTCGTACCTTGATACGTTTTTACCACCGCCGGACCCGGGGCGAATTGCCTCCCGGTTATTACGTTACGTCGTAACCCTTGGGGGTGCGTCCTGGCCCGACTTTACGACGTAACCTGCACGTAGGGCCGCCATTCATAGCGCCGCGTCGCTTTACGAGCGGCTCTTCCGTCGTAGAGACGGAATCGCAACGCGGGGCGGTCGCGCGATCGGAACGGGAGATTCGCGGGGGGCAATTCCCCCACCCCGCGAAAGTCGTAAGACCGGCGATAACCCTCGAGGAGTTCTCGATATTCCGGCGATTCCGCCAATTAGCGAACTTTCCGCGGACTCGGATCGATTCCGAGCCTCGAAGTAACGGCGGAACCGAGATGGCGGGGGTGGAGGCGCCTTTCGAAGCCGCGGATCATTAAGCAAATACTGACAAATCCTCCAGTCAGCCGGTTCGGCCCTGGCCCCCCCTCCCGAACCGCACCCTGTCGGCTCGGTTTAAATAAAACTACCCCCGGGCTTTCCACGTGCGGCGAGGCTCCCTCGGCACCGGGGGTGGTCTCCCCCATCGGTGGGGGGTGGCGAGTCGGCCTTTTTTTTTCGAACGATCCTGTCTGGGTCGTCCTTAAAGCGGATACCCTGATTCGATCGGACTTAAAACCCCTCCTTCTCCCCTCGGTGCCCCCAGACAACCCCGTAGGGGTCCCCGAGGTTCCTCCTCGGATACCTTACAATTAAATGTCTAGCTACTCCACCTAGTAGACCTCCAAATTACCTCTCATTTAATATACGTTCAATTATTATTCAATTTATTATTTGTCAATCACGGTGGGACTATTTTTACCCGACCATTCGTCCCACCAGTGATAGTATCCGTCGCGGGCTCTTTGTAGGGAAAGTATCGGTGATAAGGGGGACGGTATCTAATCTCCCTCGATGAAATCGAGGTCGCGGCCGGTCTCGAGGTGGCGGAAAGGTCCGCAGACGCGTTAACCGGACGGGCGCGAAATTAGATTTCGATTTACGCGCGCGGGGGACGATTCGACGCACGTGATTTCGGGCTCGTGTCGTCAGGGCGAGCCGCGTGAGGTGGAGCGGTGGGCGGTGGGTGGTGGGCGGCTCGGGGGATGATATCGACTCCGCGGTTTCCCTTTCGGATTTCTCGCCCACGCGCCGACCCTGACCCGACGACTCACGCACCCGCGCCCGCGCACCCTGTCAGCGATTCTACCCCTTGGGATAGTGAAGCACCAAATCAGGCGGAGGCCCGCCACGCGCCTCCACCCCCGCAACGCCCGTCTCCGCGGATGGACGGATCCCCCGCGGGGGCCGATTCCGCAGCGAGGGGTTTCCTCGCGTGACACCTGCCCCCGGGAAACCTACCCAGGGTTAGCCCTCCACCTTTTTCAAATTCACCATTAATTAACCCCTTAACTTGTGCGCTCGAGGTAATTCGAGCGCGCTAAACGGGCCAAACTGTGCACCCTTGAATATCGTCGAGAATTTTATTTCTTTGCCAAAACAATGTTCTAGTGCTTTGTTTTTACATAAAAAAATTGATTTTTTTTGGCCGGTTTTATTTTTAAAAATCAATATTCTACTTTTGGGGGTGCCTCCTATTTTCCCCGGATTGGTAGGATTTTCCAGGCGGTGTAATTTCGGGTGGCGACTCGTCGAGGGAAATTTTCCATATTTAGGGCGAGGGCGGCACCCCCTGTGTTACGTGGCTCCCAGACGGGTCTGTCGTCGACCGGGCGACAAAGGGGGAGGCGCGGCCCCACGTGCTTCCACGCGTGACCCACCAGGTATCCGGGATACGTCCGCTTGCCCGCACACCCTAAACGTGACCGGGGGCTCCATCCCCTTCAGGGCTCCACGACCCATTTTGGGGTCGGGCCCACGGAGCCGTTTAGGGGTGGCGAGCCTCCGGCCGGGATTACACGTGCGGAACGTGGGGCACGTTTTTTCGCCGACCTGGTCTCTCGCACCTTCCCTACGCATTTACGTAGACCATAGACGGGAATACGTATTTTCGACGATGGCGCACCACCGTCTGCCCCGTCGACCTCGGGACGTAACGCTTTACGATAACGTATCGTCAATGTGATAACGGAAAATAATTAGAACGCTGACGATTAGAGCCCCATTCAGGCGATGATGAGATGCACTAACACTAGAAAGATCTATGAAATACTGCGTTAATCGGGAATTTAAGGGCACGAATAAATTCCCCCCGAAAAAAAAAAAAACATTAATCAACTAAAACTGTATACATATATATTGCCCTAATCACGTATAGTTGCGAGAAAGAATTATTTCCTTGCGGAGAGAAATCCATGTCGTCGAGTTAATCCCGCTTCGTTTACTGGATTTTATATTTTTTACGGACTTTATTTCAGGATTTTGGTGGCTGTTTTTTTTTATATATATATAAATCATATATGTGCATATATGGACATAACGCTTGCGGGAAATCCGGAACTGACGGCTCGCGAGGATTTCCTCTCGCGGTGGTTTTTCTGGGGGCATCGCGCGAAATAAGTGCGGCCGAGTCGTCGCGGATCGATGGCGGTCCGCCGCGGCGGAACTCCCGGGGCTTGCGGCGGTTGCGGCACGTGAATCGCGGAAATTGGGTTATTCGGCCGAGCGGCCGCGCAACCGCGGCCCCAGAACCGCTCCGGCAGTCGCAAGGGGCGGAATCGTTGAATTTTTCAGCCGCATGAAAAATTCCGCGCTCTCTCACCGCGTACTCGACTAATGGGCTCCGCACGCGATACGAGGTACACGCCCCGAAACGCGAGTCGGCGGAATCTCGA